GTGGCCCTTGACTCGGACCTCTCCCTATTGCGCTGAGTCCTGTAACACCCAAACCTGATACGCCCCTCTCGAAAACTCACCCAACTACTTGTAACCCTTACCTCAAGGCCCCTTTTTGTTACTGTACTCAAGTCTGACGTCTAACCTCAAGGCCCCTCCTCAAAACCCAAAACCCCTGGACCCCTAAACCCAAACCTTTAAAGGCCCCCCCTTAAAGCCCGCCGAAAGCCTCGCCCAAACCTTCAGTCTGCGAAGTTGTGTAGGTCACGGCCGGGAGGCCAAGAGCTACGGACGACATGGACGACTCCTGTCGTCGGTGTAATCTAGGGGCCTCTTGATAATTAGAATCAAGGGTTGGGAGAGAATGATGGACACATATAATAGGGAACTCTTATTCGGGCTTCTATGTTAGTTTAGGGCTTTTGAAGCGAAATTCAGGGTCTCTTGCTTTTTGGGAGCTTCGGGCTGTACTTACTTCTCCAACAAGCCAGGGAAATAAAAGGTTAAACTTTCAGATTGCCACTAAATGATAAGAGCCCCAAATGTTTAAAGGTTGGTTATTGGAGAACGAAGCTTAGGGTTTCGGCGTTACCTTTCAAAGCTTCTCACGTTGTGCGTGTCATCCTTGTGTAGTGGTCATGCCAATATTCTCCGCATCGTCCCAATTTTATCGGATGATCGCTTCGGGCCTCTGGGCTGTCGTCCTTTTTACCATTCACAATTCGGCAGGGTGTAGTTTAGGGTTTAGGGCTTTGGAGTTTTGTGGCTTTGGACTCAACTTGAGCTATGCAGGCGAGGCTTGTCAGGTGCCCAACTAGTTGGCAGAGGCTTCGGCTCGACTGCAGGGCAGGGTTTAAGCTTTTAGGGTCTCTGTCGGGCATCTAGGGTTTAGTTTAGGGTTTGGGGCTTCAGGTTCTGGGGCTAGGGTTTAGGGCTTGTGGTGAGTTGAGGGCTTAGGGCGTGCGAGTGTTGGGCTTTAGGCTGTTGGAAGAAAGGCTTCAACAGCGTGGAGCGTGCCTGTCTTGTTCCCTAATGCTGCCGAAAGCTCCCCTGAATGTTCGCATAATTGTTATAACCATCCTTACAACAAATCCCCAAATACTGTTCTTCTTACAAGCCATCGAAATTTCTCTCTCAAGAGATGCAGGGAACAGATCGTGTTTCGCTCTTCTTTAGAAAGAGGCTGCCGTGACAGTAGTATTCTCGGACCACTTTGGCGACTATCTTTCCATGAATATCCCCGTGATTCACCGAGGCAGTGTCGCTTCCTGTTCTGATCTTTTCTGAAGACTCGAGCACAAAACGCATCAAAACGCCCCAAAACACAGTGAAACTGGCTGAGGGGTACACCAGAACTATCGAAACCCGCAGGACCTTGACACCCTAAACCCCAAAGCCCAAACCCGAAACTCTCAAATGGTTCAAGGCTATCAGGCAATCCAGTACCGTAACAACCCTATTGCCCGGAAACCCTACACACAGTGGCTCTTTGCCATGGCCTTCGATGCCATGCGACCCGCATGATAGCCCTCTCGCTGTAGCTTCACAAGGGCGGCCTCCACAAGACTTTATGGTCCTGGGGTCTTAGGGTTTTCCAGGTTTCGACCTGTTTGGGGGCTTGGACTCTCATTTCGGTCAGGTTCTGAGCGTGTTGGGGAGTCGGTCTTCGGTTTGAAGCCGCTGCGTGGCTAACGACAGACTCAGGTCAATGCCAGCCACAGCATATCTGGTGCCGGAGAGTCTCTGGAGCTTCTGGAGCTTGTAGCAAAATTTGGAAGATGTTCGGCAAAGACCGAACAACAAATGAAAACAAGATGGCAAACTGGATAGCACCTAGTTGTCACCACCGCCAGCAGCACCGTCAACATCAGCATCACAGCGTTGCTTCACGCAGGCAGCTGGACTGGCAACTGGCACGAACCCAGAACCGCAAAACGAGCGAGCTTGGGACCTTGTTTGGGGTGTGTCGTTTGGTCCGAAAAGCCAACCTTCAAAACAGCCCACGAATGGCCCAAGGCAGGCTTAGGAAACAAGCGCTTGCAGCAGGTAGCCAAGTGTTGCTACCTCTACTGAACATCCTACCAAGGAACATGCTGGCAACGAAACCATGCAAGCACCAAGCAGCAACAGTGAGCCTGATTACGAGACTGATCTTACCTACCGTTTTCCTGGCATGTCTACTCATGTCTGAACTTAGTACCACCGCCATTCTGAGTCCTTAATCTTAAAGTTGTATCAAATAATCCTGAAACCCTGTCACACTCAACCCGCAGGCCTTCAGTGTCTCCTTCTCGTGGTGGAGCTCGTCGATCTTTGCCTGCGGGCGCCCGGGTTCCGGGTGTCGGCTCACGGGCACGAAAACAAACACATTCACTCACACACACACACACTGTTGGTTGCACTTTCGGATGGATTTTCTTCTCAAGATACTCTTGCTGGTTGTGTATAGATGTGGCAACGTGTCTTCGTGTTTGTCGTCGTAGCCCTCGTCCTCGTCGTCATCTCCACTCCTCATTCACCAGCTGGCACGACGGCCCCAGATGCAATAGGGGTGGAGAAAGCAGGTACGTTTGCACAGGCCCTCCGGGAGGCCTGGGTGGCCCCCTGCTGTAAAGTGACTGTTTGGTATGGACACCACTTGACGTCTTAATGCACAGCGATTGGAGAGTGACCTCCCTGAGCCCATGATCGAGGACCGTTCAGACACAGAGTGCCCCGTGTCAGGGGCGCATGCTTGTTGAAAAACGCAAGGCAGTGTGGCATGCTGCTGGTGATCCTGGCGTGGTCACTGGCATGACAAGTGCTCCCTTCAGCTGTGGCAACGCGGGTGCAGTGGTGAGCTGTGCCAGTGACCAGCCGTGGTCACTGGTGGACAAGTGTTCCTGTCGGCTGCAAAGGTCCCGATGGTAATAAGGCAAGTGGTCCGGGCTAGTCTGTCGGTACCGCTGGTACCACTGGCATCGGAGAACACTGTCGTGCAAGTGATGTTGCTGATGTGCTGAAAGCTTGCGTGTATATATATATATATGTATATATATGGCGAACCCAACCGATTGCGCTTAACCCCGAAGGGCCCATCAAGAAGGCTCTAGCACTTTACCCCCAAACACTTTACTACGATAGACCTCATGTCAGATGCATATGCCCTCCTGCGCAAATGCAGAATTGAATAGAGAAGAGTCATGGAAGTACGAATAGGCGAGACAGACTAGCCGGCGGAGGCAGCAGCTCGCACACAGACCACTCCAGAATTACCAAATGCATATGCCGTCCTGCGCAAACACTCATGTCTCACGGTGTTCGCGGGTGAAAAGGTTCCCATCATCTCAGATGAAGGTACCTTAGGCCTCAAATCGGGTGGCCCAAATACCTCTAGCGAGAACAGAGGTGAAGGGGGGAGAGAGCGAAGCTCCCCTTCAACGAGGACTGCCTCCGATGGAGACCACCGCGGCGCCGTGACGGAAAGCCGCTGTTGACACACTGTTGTTTGCACTCTTGGACGGATTCTCTTCTCAAGATACTCTTGCTGGTTGTGTATAGATGTGGCAAACTGTCTTAGCGTTCGTCGTCGTAACCCTCGTCCTCGTCGTCATCTCCACTCCTCGTTCACCAGCTGGCACGACGGCCCCAGATGCAATCAGGGTGGAGAAAGCAGGTACTTTTGCACAGGCCCTCCGGGAGGCCTCGGTGGCCCCCTGCTGTAAAGTGACTGTTTGGTATTGACACCACTTGACGTCTTAATGCACAGCGATTGCGCAGCGACTGGAGAGTGACCTCCCTGAGCCCATGATCGAGAACCGTTCAAACACAAAAACAAAAAACACACACACACAGACTTTTGACACACTCACACATGCAGTCACTCACTCACACGTTCTACTTCTCTCTCTGACTCTCTCTGGCCGTCCTCCTGGCCGGTGTGGATTCGGTCCAGCTGACGGAGCAGGTCTCGGTAGACCGTTTCACGCCTCGAGCGACGTGATTTCCAGAGTTGTCGAAACTTGTTCGGACGTCGGTTGCGACTACTCCGCAGGAGCTTCATTCCTACTGTCGACTGTATCAATCATCTTTCAGAACCTATCATCAAGGTGTCAGCGACCTTGGAAGATAGAGTCAGCCTGCACTCTACTGCGAGGTCCGTGGTGCTGCCGCCAAACAAGCTCGCATAAGTGATGCTTGAGTCAGCTCAGTGTGGATCCGTGGGCGAAGGCTTGCACCTACAGTGTCTTTACAGTACTCTTCTCGGTCTCCTGGGTTGTGTTTTGCCTTGGAGGCTGCGGCTGATCAAATTTCGACCTGTGCCGGCCATGCCATGGCTTCGACATGAGTGGATGCACAAAACTTCAGGTTTGGGTGATGCTCGAGGCTGAAGCCAGATCATGCCCTATTCTCCTGAATCTCCCAACTTCCAAGGCCAGGACGGTTCTTCAGCAGTCGGCGAAGTGTTGTTATCCAGATCACGACTCAATGTGCCAACTTCGAGGCCATGGGATTCCATGGCACGAGGTTGGTTTTAGCCCCACGAACTCCAAACTACGGCACTGCCCCTACCCCGATGTGTTTGCCCCACAGCCTGAAGCCCTCACCGTTCGAATCACGGCATCCCCACACTTCTGCATGGGCTCTTGATAAGTCTACGCCCCACCCTGTGGGTGGGCTTTGGAAAACCTCGGGCCACGCAGCTGCGACAAAAGTTCCCGTGAGTTCCCGTGGAAATGTCGGTGCACGTGAGACTTCGTATTTTGGATCAACCCAAATCTTTCGGTGTCAAAACATGGTCCAGCCGCAATGGCAAGCCGTGGCAATTGACAGTGTCTTACCAACGATGCACCTCGAACACCACAACGCAGCCTCGATACAGAAGCTCACCAAACCCACATAAGCCCAACGCCTTTGCTCACTTAATAACCCTACTTTTCAATGTTAAGGCAGCCGTCGACGTGAACCGCCGAACATCGCACCGAACGCTAGATGCAAAGCTGAACAACGTACTTCAGCATGAACTCCCCGAGCGTACAACGTCCTTTGCTCTTGACCCCCCTCCCAAGCTCGATAGCTGCCATGCACATCCAAAATGCCCCCAAATCGCTCTTAGTAAGCTCAGCCCCCCTAGGCCCCAAATCCTACACCCTCCACTCTGCACCCTCTGTGCTCATCCCGAAAAACGTGGAAGCAACCTGCCCAGAGTAGCGAATGACCACAAGGCTCCAGTCAGCTGGCGACTTTGGAAATTTGGCGCCTGGAGCTTTTCGGGTGCGTTACATGGTTTTTCAAGGTTTAGGGCCGGTTACTTAGGGCTTTGTTCCAGGTTTGTGGCTTTTGTTTGGGGCTTGGGGTTTCGAGTCTGTTTAGAGGTGGGAGATGGTGTTTAAAGCTCGGGGGCACAAGGGTCTCGAAGCTTTCGGAACATTTTGGGCATAGCTTGTGGCTCTTTGGCCTCGAATGCCACAGAGTTTGAAAGGATCTGGATGCATGGAGTCTGGTGGTGCGTCTCGGAGCTCAGCTTAGCCACGCCCTGCATTTGGGATGGTGCCATTGTATCACTTCCAGATTCCAAGAGCGTCTGCACCCTTTTGCATCCGGGCAGGGAATTGTTGCAGACGCTAAACCCGAAAACACTGAAGCCCTCTACTTAGAAGACAAGGTGTGTAGGCAAGGATCGTCTATGAACCTCCTGTTCGCTGATTGTCGCTTCTATTCGCCGTAGGTGGTGGCATGTGATGTGTTCTTGCCTGCATAGCACAGGTTTTGTCATGTATTGTGCCAAATTGCATTATACCATGTCATGCTGTTTACATCTGAAATTCTGTGTTTTCTACAATATGGTACTATATGTTATTATGACCCCGCGGCTCCATGTAACATCGGCGATGCCTGCATGTTGCGCTCCAAATGGCTGAGAACCTCGTGCCACCGGGGGTCCTCGAAGAGCCTGGCTTTTGGCTTTAATCAGAAAGAGTTTCTCTGAAGGGCTGCTACAAGCAACCGCAACTAATTACTACTTTAAGGCGCCAAGGGCTGGTATGGGGTCCCTGGTCAGAAGAGGCTTCTGGGGTATAGCGAGATATAACTGGACAGGCTTCTTCTCCGCCTGAAGGTTCCTATTCCTGGTTACTGCCAGAGGCTGCAGGAGGACGAAAAATGCAGACCGTATTCTGCCGTATTCCTACTGGCCAGCTCCGCAGATAAATAGATCGCGGTCCCTGCTTGCCTTGATCTGGCAAACACAAAAGCAAAATGGCCTAATAATCCTCATGTCTGCATCATCGGGATAGGGCTTGCGGGGTGTCTTCTCTTGTATCTATTAAGAACTTTTGGAAGGAACCCGAAGCCCTGGGAATAGAATTGAGAGCAGCCGTTTTGCCTGTGGTGAGGCGCCTCTCTGTGCCACTTTGCTAGGCGATGCCTGATGCCGAAGGCGCGAGACGGGTATGTGGATACTTTCATGTGACATGATATATCCATGTCTATCATGATGGCTCTGTCCTACGGTGAGAGAAGGAACATTATCCAAGCAGCAATGGCGTAAGAAACGGGTGTAGCCGGACTGCGAATGACGGTGTACCGCACCATCGAATGGCTCTCACTTCTTCTGACAATCGCTCAAGATGTTTGTCATTGATTTCCGCATGCACCACTCAACGGAGAGAACAATCTTGATTCCATGAACATTAGCTACATACCGGCATATTTTAGATTCAATCTACTGCTAATCACGCGAGAAATTCTGCTGCCGCGATGCATGGCAGTCGCGGTGTTGGTGCCGTCGAATTCGGCTCCGTAGGTGCCAATGAGGTTGAGCACCTGCACCACCGGAATCCATTGGGGCATGCCCCGGCATCACAGCACTTCCGGAGACTACATCAAAGCGCCGGAAATTGTAGGCCCAACGAACCTTTCATCTCAACTGTGAAAGCCTCCGGCACGGAGGTGGTGGCCGCCAGCCAATCGTTCAACGTCCTGGAGGGCTTGTCCGGGCGAACCTGGGCTCCAGTCTGCTGGGGAAGGAGAACTACGGTTGTCGCAACATGCCGGACCAGTGCATAGTCACCTAAGCGCAGCGCAATATTAGAAATCGATGACAAACTGCAACATGTAGGATGACGACAAATTTAAAGAAATTTCAACCTGACGGGTAAAACGGCGAAACCAGGCGACAGGCCACTACTCGTTCTATGGAGTCCTCCACGGGTTTTGTTGCTAGGGCTGGTTGGGGCACGAGAATATTAGTGCTTTGCTGGCCATGGTCTGTGTGGCTGAGGCCCTGGCGTGGTACGGTAGCTTCGAGGAGACGATCCTGGAAGAAGCAAGCGCGTATAGCAACCCTTGTAGCAACAAGGTTACTATACGGTCACTTTAAGGCTTTAATGAAGGTCACTATGTATGTACGTATATACATATATATATATATATAGACACATAAATATGTACACACACGTCATGGACAGATGGCTACTGTACATACGTGGGGTCTACTATTGCTAAAAGGCTGTTCGGAAGCCCCATGAGATCCGCTTCACCGGAGGACGACGATGTTTTGTTGTGGCCTTATGGCAGCCTCATAGTAAACTGTAACTAACTGTTGTAACGCGGTACTAACCTTTTACATTGGTTTTACAGACGACTATGTAACCCTGTTTATTATAGTAACATCAATGGAACCTTGCAATAGTCATATAGTAACCATATGGGTTACTACCGGAACATAATAGTAACCTCGTACTGCCTTTGAGTAACCATAGAGTGCGCATATGGAAACTTTACAGTAGTGCCACTAGTGCTGCTGCTGCTGCTTGGCGGGGTACTAATTGCGAGGACTGTGGCGACGACCAACGACGGACAGAAGGACGACAACAATTACTGCTACGGCTCCTCTCCTACCAAAACAACACCCAAGACAACAGCAACAACTAAACCAAGCAACAATCACAACTATGATCGTGATACGGACAGCCACTGCCAGTATGATTGCTATTGCTACCCTTTGTTCTGTTCTTCTACTAGGACGACGACGACTACTACTCATGATGATAACGATAATAGCAGCAAGAACCAGGAATTTAATTGTTAGTACACATGGGAACGATAGACAACCAGAAACAAGTCATGGCTACCAGCTTCAGTACTGAGTGATACCAGTAGTAACGATGGAGCCGGTGTGGTAGCACGATCGCGCTTCATCTTGCTGGAACGAAATCGATTCATGAACTTCGCTGCCAAGCCTGTGCGCAAGCACATACCTGGCCTGACAAAGTCGCTGTGTGGCGTCCCAGGTGGGCCGTAAGCATAGAAGGATTGGTTGGCAGAGTGGACTGACCTGGCTCACTAGAATATAGAATGAACATGTCGCAGTTGCAATATACTGCATCAGACTCTCACACTGACACAATGAAGGCACGGTTTCACGCATCAGGTTCGACACAAACATGACGCCGATACATGAAATCAAACCGAAAACATATTACTCTGGAGAGACTTGAGGGCCTTGATCCGGATGCACCCAGTACAGTTCACTACCTGCCATATGACCCCTCGAGAACCAATCTGACTATCTGACTTATCTGACTGACCAGATCATACAACTACTACTGCTAACTCCATGGTTTCTTGAAGACGAGGCAGATGGCATCACAGAATGTGCTCCGCGCCAGAAAGAGACTTTGAACGACAGCGTGTAGCCAAGACGCCGTTTTGCTGCCGGCCGCTCGGCAGGCGAGCCATGCAAGGCTTGTCCATTGGCCGGGGTAACCCCAGCACCAACCTGCAAAGGTGAGCGGCTGTAGTTGGGTAGTTCTCTAAATTAGGGTCCCCTTTTAGGTCCCCAATATAGTACGGCACCCTTATAAACAGGACCCCAAAAGGGACCCTAATTTCGAGAACTACCCAGTCTCCAGTCCGCCCCGGCCTTCTCCTGCCGCGGTGCCGCCGATGGCACAGCCGGGGACCGGACGTCCTGACAGGCTTCACATGATCCGTGTCGAAGACAATTTCTCAAGGGCCAAGCAGCCATGGTCAGTGGGGAGTAAACTGGGCAAACCAGCATGGCCTCTGGAAGCGCAGGTGCGGCGCCTGGATTCCAGCCTTCGTGGGACAGTCGGGCTGCAAGGCTGGCATGCTGCCTATATGTATCTCAACAAAACAGCTCACAGGCACCACTAGCTGCATATGAAACACATGAAGCCGGCGCAATCCGGGGTCCGTGCCATCGCGGATCTCGCTCTGATCCTTAATCATCTTGACGAAATGTGGCGTTTAGCGGGGCTCATACTGCAGGAGGTCTCCGGGTTTCGTTACGACGTAGCCAACGAGGCTGCAACAGTAAGCTCTTTTCGCGTGTGCCGCGCAACGATGTCCTAGAACCTAAGCCAGAGTCAGCTGGGATTTAAATGTTTCCTACAGCTTTGGTCTACCTGAGTACAGCTGCCCATCTTCAACGTGCTGGAACTTGCCATACTTCTCTACGTTCGGGTTGGTGCCGCTGACGTGACGTCCAACGAAACCGTCCCACTTGGACAGCTCGTCCTTCGCGATGGTGATCAGGTGCACCATGTCCGGACCGTCCGCCACACGCAAAGTGCGCATGCCTGTGTACCTCATATGCTATCTTAAGCCCAGGCTTCATGCCACCCTAAACCGACAGGTGAGACTCGCAATGAGATGTCGAAGAGTAACTGAATACGGCCCAGGAACATGCTAGCCAGGTGGGAGTCCTGCGAGACCCCATGGGCCCCATGCAGCTGTATAGCATCGTCGATAATCTTCCTCGGCAAGTCGTACAGACCGCCGGCGGGTGCTCTTGCATTCGTGACATTTCGGTGGTCTACTATGCATCTGTGAGTTATTGCACGAGACTACAAGACTATGGCTTGTAGACTGCTTGAACTCATGTACGAGTACATATACCTCTGTGTGCATATGTTCATTTACGAAGCAACCGCATCAACATTGGAGTCAAAGCCTCCCTGGACCCCGCGGGCACCCAAAACAAAAGCAAATTCTCAAGACTGCCCCAGGGTTTCAGGGCGGCGCGCGGAGCTGCTACCTTGATCATGGCGATATAGCTCTTGGCGGCGGATGTTTCCGGCAGTTGGAGTCCCCAGGAAGTCTTGACACCGAAGGGCTTGCTATCATCATCTCAAGAGCAATTTGATTGTAGCAACGAAGAAATTGTGGCCGAAGATCCCACTGAAGGACCCCAAAGAAGCTGAAGGAGTCAGCACCCGTTCCTTGAAACCCTGCTCATCCGCCACCACCGCTGCCAAATAGCCTGAGGGTTTCTGTTGCTAGAAGAGGGACTTGAGCTACACAAGTTGAAAGATGGAGAGCTTGCCAACTAGAGCAAAATGATCGCTTCAAACCCGTCGCCCAACAGGCGATAGCCGTTTCGGCCCGGCCCGAACCCCCCTCTTGAAGCCTCCGCATGAGCCACAGGTGTCTGCGGCATAGGGGCTGCAGGCTTTGCGGTACCAAAGGATGATCGGAAGTGCAGGTCAGCGGCTTGGCTTCGAGGTTTGGCTTTGACTTTCGACTGAAAGGGGCAATCCGTTCAGGGCCCGAAGGACTATCAATATTGGGAGTACCCTGTGCTGCAGGATGTTCTTGCCCCACGACCCGACGAACAAGTGAACTAAACCCGAGCAGTTTCGAACCCCCGACCTCAGTGTGGGACAACCGAAGCTGTGAAAGCCTGCAGAAGCCTTCGAAACTTCAATCAATATATCCTCTGATCTGGGAACTCCTCAATCCCTTTAAAACCGCACTAGGTTTCTAGTCCTGTGAAAAAATATCATCTTCATTCGCCTCCACCAAAGCCATCCGAGCTTGCCACGGGGCTCCCTATTTCCCTCCAAGAAGTGTCCCTCCCCCGCACTCGCCCTCCTTCTGCCCATCCTACACACTCAGTCGAGTATTTTTGCTTGCCATGCAAATTTCAAGATACATTCCGCTTCCTCCTGCCAGGACGGGAAGTGCCTCCAATCAAGATAACACTGGCCAAGCCACAGAGCTGCCGGCACTTGGTTATCTCAATGCGAGCCTTGCGAGGGAGTCGGTGCTCAATGGTGCCGGGTCGCAAAGTTTCAGGATTAAAAGCTTCAGGCAACTGTTGGATCCTATGTCGAGGGCCGAAGACCGGTGACGATGCAAGCTTCGACAGCATATGCTAATGATACGAAGAGTTTATAGCGTGGTCCAAGCAATGCTTCCCATGGGTCGACGGCTAACACCGGATGAAAAGGACTAAGTGAGAATAGCCTAGCTGGGGACACCCGTTTTACTTCTACGTACACAAACGATTGAGATTCTAAAGACCAACAAAACCAGGCCTCTGCGGCCCTCTCTGGCACATCTAACACCGCTTCTACCCTTTTGACGCACTTTCCTGCGTCGTTTGAGTTGGGATATTGGTATTGGTGGCTTCTCGAGTTTTAGCTGTGCCGCCGATACAGGACACAGCAGCAAATTCCAAGACACAGACTTCATGCACGAAGCTTTAGCAAGATGTACGGTTATGCTCTCTGACTCCCACCCCGGTGATCAGGTTGAGGCTCTTGATTGTAATGAGTTCGCGCGCATTTGCATCCGAACACGTCTTAGGGGCTGGGGACGGCAAATGTCAATGGCTAGCTTCTGGTTCGTTAAGCCTGAAAGTCCAGCGTCTACGGTTCATGCAGGCGCGACTGAAGCCCACTCAGGCTGCAGCTGCAAACCCAAAACACCCCCGCTCTTGACCCCATGCAGTAAACAGCATTATCTTACAGTAACATTACAGTGATCCATGCCTTGCATTAGACGTATTTGACTCTTGCACAAGCACCTCGGCAATGGCCATGCGTACAGCGTCCTTTTGCGCCAGCAGCTTGCCGAATGCCTTCCGCCGGTGAGCGCGATCCACCTCATGGGTGCCGATCGGCTGCAATGCTTGTAAAGGACGTAATAAGAAGAACAACACCAAGAATACTAGTAATCGAGTCTAAGGTCTCCTGGTTCTTAGAAGTCAAGAGTACGAAAATCCCCGGTAGAAGACACTCCGAAGTGTCAAGCTGTCGCACCACTGAACTCCCACCCCGGCCATCCTCAGACCCAGCTCGACACCCGTGTCAAACAACACAAAGCAAACCATACAAATAACATTGCGTGTGTGCACGTGTGCAAGATGATTGCTAACTCGCCTAAGGAATCGCAACAGCTCGTCGCCACAGTCCCTTTTGTGCAGTAGACAGCAAGGTTCACAATGATACTTCATCATCACTGTCATCATCTCTCAATCAGTACAGCAATCATCGTAGAGGCTATAGAAACATCATTATCATCATCATCTTCATCTTCATCGGGAATCTAGAAACACCAAAAAACCAAAAGGCCCTCAATGTGCAGCCCGAGTCACCATGGCGGCCAATGCCAGCTCAGCCAAGCCTAAGGACCTTAGCTCTCGCAGCGTTTCGGTATTGTTTTTTATGTGCAGGGGGGAAAGGAAGCAGCAAGACAAGCAACAGCAGCAGAAGTTGAACAACATTGACAAATCTCAGGACGTCAAGACACATCTGTCACACAAGCTTCCGAGTCTTCTAATCTTGGGCCAAGTCGCCGCATGCAGTGATGTATCCTCCCTGGTCCTAGGCGGCTCTGGGCGATCTCGAAACCACGGCCTTCGCCCAACAACATGTTGGACCTGATGCACTCAAGGAAGGAGGAATATCTGGAAGAAGGCCTAAGAGCAGAGCTAGTCACAAATCGTCACAACCAGGCTTGGGTGCTCATGAAGATACCGAATCCAAGCTCAGTCTGCTGGCCCTAACGACTTCTGAGGATGTGACTTTAAGGAGCCCCTGTTTGGTGGTTCAGGGCTTTTTGTGGATCGGACTTTAGGATTTTGGCTTTAGTGCCTTAGGGGTTTCCCCCCTACCGGGGGGTCAGTCAGAGCGGCTTCGGGACGCGCACGTTGTCGAAGACGATCTCGGCATGGTCATGCTCTTCACCAAAGACTGCCAGGGGCCGCAGGATTTTCACACCCGGCGTGTCTTTGGGCACCAGAATCCTGGGAGGCTTTGGGCTCGGATCTGGTGCAATGGGATGCTGCATGCTATGCTATGAATTATCTAGGGGGAATAGATATGTTGTTCTATAGGGACTTTGTTGCAATGGCCTAGAGCCTAAGGAGCCTTCCCGCTTGGAAACGGGAGAAGCTGATGCCAAATGCCGACTCATTGTCATGGACTGCTGCTTGTGGAGGGGGCCGCTGAAGCTAGTGCGGCCCAGAACGACAAAGACTTTGCATTCGGGTCGGATTGCCCCGGAAATCCACCACTTGTGGCCATTGATCAGGTAGTGGTCACCATCGGGTTCAATCTTTGTGCAGATATTCGTGGCATCACTGGAGGCTACGCCAGGCTCCGTCATGGCGAAAGCTGATCGGATCTCTCCGTTCAGCAAAGGCTTCAGCCAGATTTGTTTCTGCTCCTCGGTGCCAAACTTCTCCAAGACCTCCATGTTGCCTGTGTCCGGCGCAGAGCAGTTCATAGCCAAGTTGGCCACGCCGTTGGTGCCAAGGATCTCTGCGATTGGGGAATACTCCAGGACGGAGAGCCGGGACACTTCGGGCAGGAAGAGATTCATGAGGCCTCGAGCCTTGGCTTGCTGCCGTAGCTCATTCAGGACCGGCGGCTCCGGACACTGCGTCGGATGCGACACGGTTTGCAGTAGATCCCTCTTCTGCTGTGAGTACGTGGGCAGGGCGGGGTTCACGACATCCTGGACAAAGTCGATCACCTGAGCCCTCACTTCGAAGAAGCGCGGCGTCAACTTCTCCTTGTAGGGCAGCAGGGCATCTGGAAGCTCGGGGCCCATAAGCTGCATGGTCAGCAGGAAACTACAGGGCACTCCCAGAAGTAATGCAGCTATGGCTGCGGTGAAGAAAACGACATCCGTGAGACGCTGCCCACAAGTAGATCAGCTGCTTTCCCTGCTCCGGGATTTGCATGCCCGCCCCAACAAGAACATGACTTTCAGTCCCTGTGCAGCACCGCGCAAGCATATACTCGTACCTTATATGCCCCTGGACAGACTCGAATGTCCAAAGCTCTGGACTGAAACCATCACCCGAAGAGCCAAATTCAACGAATTTATCATGCAAGCACGGAGCAAATAACTCCAAAGGCGCCTCACAAGGACAACAACTTACGTCACAAAAACTCAATGCGCACCCCAAAAGAGTAGCGCCAGACTCCGTAAACCTTCAGCTCATTCGTTGAAACAAGCTCACTGCACGGCCATGGCCAAGCTTTTTTTGTAAGCAGAACCCAAACTGATGATAAAAAAGGCCCATAAGTCAGGCACATAGGCAGCTGCCACCTCTTTGGGGCTGTACCTGGCGGCTTGCTTCGAGGAGATCGAGTTGGAGTTTGGTGCCGAGTTCTTTGGGCCGAGCCTTTGGAAGCTTGGGTTTGGCTCCCGGCATTTAAAATGTCCTTTGAAATCCGCTTTGAGTTCACATCTGCTATGCAGGCAAGAAGCCATGACCCGAAGCGATGCAGCCTCAGCGCTAAAAAGCCCCCAAGCTGCGTAATCGCATGCCGGCCGGACCAAAGCCGTGAGTCACTCGTACGATCAAAGCTGCCATAGTAGGAGCTCCTGAGCAAAGGAGCAGCCTTCTTTAAGCTAAGCAGCATCAGCAACTGCTCTTCAAGCTGGGGGGCTCAAGGCAAACATCTTGCCTAATCTCAGGGCCTTAATGCTGACAATAGTGTTATGGTGAAACATCAGGAACCCCAAGGAATCGTGCTACTGGTAGAAAGTATTCAGAACCCCCATATTAAGAGCCTTCCTGCGAAGCCAGGCTCTGCAATGTGTCTGAGGCGAGCGCATGACATGCCGCCGGCAAGGGCAAGGGCAAGAGCGGTGTTTGCTTTATCTGCAACTGAAGGTTTCGAAGTCTCGTAATTCAGCCCGGCTAGCCCCAGGCCCCCATGACTTTTGCCTTCCCTTCCTATCTTGCACATGTTGAGTGGAAACCTCGGAAATCACTAGCAAGAAGGAGGCCAAAGGCCGCGAAGCATTCTTGGTGTAGGATGCCAGTCTCTTCTTGATTCAGATCCCGGCCTAAGCCTCCTGAGCACATGGCTTCCGAGCAGGGGCTGCGTCTGCAGAAGGTGAGCGCCCAAAAGAACTGAGAGACTGAACGAGGCTGCCGCAACAGCCTCGGAACGACCTAAACTTATGTCTATCCCCGGAATGACTGGGTCGCAGCCACAACGTTTTTCCTGTGAGAATCCTGCGAGGTTCCCTGTAAGAAGTCCTGTGAAGTTGTTTGTGAGGTTTGCTGTGGGACGCCTCCCCGCAACAGAAACTCACAACCCTGAAGCCTAAACCACGTTCAACCCCAAACCCTCAAGCTATCCAAAACCCGTAAATTTCCTCTGCCCTTAGCAACCAACCGCCCTAAACCCTCCTAAGCTCACGACAAACTAAAAACCCACTTCGAGGCCAACTTTTCTCGCGGTTCCCGCGGCTGTCGGCTTTGAAAGCCGAGGACCGACTCGGGCCTTCGAGATGGGGGTTCAAAGACGAAGTACATACATACAGACATATCTATCTATCTACCTACCTATCTATAGACCTCTCTCTCTCTATATATATATATATACACACACGTACACAGGTGTACGGTTAAGGACTTGTTTAGGCTTTTGGTGTTTTTGGGTTTAGGCTTTGTTTTGGCTCCAGCGCATGGCAGTCTCCAGAGATTAGGCTTTATAAGGTTTATGAAACGGTTTATGAGTATGGGCTTAGTGCAGTTTTGTATGTAGGTAAGTCGGTAGGTAGGTAGGTAGGTAGGTAGGTAGGTAGGTAGGTAGGTCATTAGTTAATCACGTACCTCTTTTTGTGCTTACATACAGACGCAAGACATACAAGCTGCAAGAAACACACATGAGCAACTAGATGAACAAACACACGAAAAGTCTGTATACATACATACGTACACACCCCCTCCCCTTTCCCCCCTCAAAAACACGAACAACAAGTATACATAATGTATGTACAGTTGTAAAATAACATGTATATATATATATGTATGTATGTATGTATGTATGTATGTCAATGTATGTCAATGTATGTATGTATGTATGTATGTATGTATGTATGCACGTGTGTTTAATACATGTACATAACAACTGTGCTCAAATTCTTCGCATCTCCTGCTCAAGCACTAAATCAGAACGGGAGCTGTGTTGCTGATGCTATTGGCTATAGAATGCGCTAGGACTTCAGGCTAGACTTGTGCTGACTAAGACTCTTCTTGGCCAATCCCGGTGGGGCCTTAGATCTGCTCCGCGCTGATACTTCTAGTTGACATCAGGGCTGGCATCTTCACTTATGCCCTACAGTTTTTTCCTTCTGCATGACTATACTGTTGCTGTTGAGAGTATTGTGGCTACTGTGGATCTATCGCAGCTCGTGACCGTCTGCTCGCGCGGTGACAAGCAAAAAGTAGTGCGCGACGCGAATTTCCGCGGCTTTACGCCTCACAAAATGATTACTTATGCTTAGGCGTAATGCAGCTTGTAGAGGTGCACTTCGCTGTGAGGTCAGGGACGCCACTCTTTCAGGGTGCGCCATGGCCTCTACGAGAGTCGTTATCGGGCAACAGCTAGGTGCGACAGGTGCCGAAGTCTTTGCATGCTGCGCCAAGGCAAGTCGAACACAGACGGAGCCTGAACTCTCATTCCTAGACCGTGTTTAAGTGGTGGTGCAGCAAGCAATGAATTACAGCTACAACCACTCGAACTCGGATTACTAGCCATGCTCATATTGGCACCATTCCTTTCAGCACGATTCGTGTATTCACCTTCTTACTCCGTGATTAGACTGCGCAGTATGAGTACGACGAAACAGAGTAGCTGAGTGCTCGCCTGCGGCCCTGCTGTCGCCAGGAGAGATTCTTGTGTTCCAACGGAACCCTTGGGTCACGTGCCGACCCGGATTAACTCGGGGCCCATGCTGGCGCTTCAGGCTAGCAGCCGAACATATCGGAAATGGTGGGTCTAGTAGGTTCGACAAAACGACAACATCACCACCCTCTCTAAGTCCCATTGTCGAGCACACGTCTCCTGTCTAGTCTTCGGGTGATGTTCTTCAACTGCAAAGTGCCCCAAATTGTTGTAGACCAAGAGCCACTTGTACCAAGAAGGCTGCGAATTTCTGCTCAAGCTCCTGGATGAAGGACTCAGAAGCACTCGTCCTGCTCGTTTTCACTTGCCACCAACGGGCTCAACAGGATGCAGGGATGGCTATGAAAGGTGTCAGGCAGGCACAGGCTCAACTAAGGGGCGTGTATCATGCTCGTTGGTTGAAACCTCCCGGTAACCTTTTTCCCGAAGCAGAAATTTAGAAAAGGAGCTTGGTTTCAACGGCCAAAATTTGACCCTTGAGAAGTTCCTATCGTTGTCTCAAACCTGAAGGACAAACCTGAAGGACAAGGCTGACGCTGTTGAGAAACAAGAAGGCGAGCAAGCGACTGCTTGCCTGAAGTCTGCGCGATAATCACCCCATAAAGAACCCCACGGCCACGAACTTCCCTGCATTAGCATACCATAAATATACTCTAAACCCTACACTTCTCTAAACCCACACCATTGATCTAAATTCAATGGAAGGCCTCGAAAGCATCCAGCAACCTCGCACCACCCAGGGAGCAACGCCTCCAGGAGACCTCAAAACTATGCCTCTGCCNNCCCCCCCCCCCCCCCCACCGATTAATTTCGCTTTGTCAATGTTAAGGTTACCTGCTTGGAGGGATTGTCTTTGAAAGAAAGGATGCTGCTAGTTAGGTCTGTATATGTTGATGTTGGCCCCTGAACCCTGAATTTTCATCCACGAGAACCTCCGTCTCCTTCTGCTCCATTTCCCTGCTCGGGCCTTGGTCTCTCATGGAGCAGCCTTGAGGGTTTCGGGTTTCGGGCAGAAGGGCTTTTTCCCGTGGTTGTACCTGGGTAAGGTTTTCATAGGGTTTTGAAGCCGGGCACGGTTTGAAGCATGGCGTGTACCGTACCGCCAGTACCTTTACTGCTGCTCTGGTGTCTCCGGCTGTGCTTG